AGATAGCACATTTATCCTCATTTCTTTTCCCAGAACATTCTCTCGCGTAGTGTCCCTGCTGCCCGCAGGAATGGCAGAGGAAATCTGGGCAGTCCTTAAGGATGTGCCCTGGCTGGATACATATTCTGCAAACCCTGACCTGTTTATCATGAATCACCCTGAAGTATTCTGGCCCCATTACGGTATTAAACCTAACAGAGTATGGTAGAGACTGCACGGTATCTGTAAATTTTACCTTCACAAACCTGGTCCCATCTGCAATTTTTGTCCCAGGCCACACTCTCCTCTTGACCTCTGACACCGCCGAGACACCCCAGCCATGGAGCTTTTGCAGGATCTCCACATCCGTGATGTAAGCAGGGAGTCCCAAGAAGGAGACAACCAGCGTATCTTTGATCAGTTCTTTTGCCAGGACCCTTGTCGCACCTATTTTAAATCCATCCAGCAGTCTTTTCTTTGCAGTTAAATTGCTCACAGTCACTTCATATTTCCTCTGCGTGATGAGTCCGGAGGCCAGCAGCCCCCCACACACCAGACCAATATTCCTCATCAGCTCCATTGTAGAAATCATGTCTTCACCTTCAATTTTGACTTGCACTATATTTTCTTTTTCAAATTTGCTTACGTCATTATGTCCTTCTTCCTTCTTGTCCTTGTTTYGTGCCAAATGGTCTGCTGCCTGTGGGTCCATCCGTTTGTTGCTTTTGTGTTCCATGATTTTCAAAAAAACAAAATGTCTCCTTCCCATGGTGGAGCACTGTGGGGAGGGAAAAAATCACTGTCCCAAGTTAAATAAAAAACTAATTTAAACTCACTTCTTCAGAAGAAAAAAACAACAAAAGAAAAAGAGGGACGAAGCACCTTCTCACTCTGACCAAACTTTTTCCTTGCACACCTGGTGTGGGCGTGTTCAGGGTGGTATGGCTGTAAATGAAGGCTACAGCCTCCACAGGCCCTTTTAAGGACACATGAAAGCACGCCACAGATCACTTTACAGGCTTCTGTAGTGTCCTAAGAGTGGGGGTTGTCTCAGGAATTCACACGTGTGGTCCATCAGCCATCCAGCTTCAGATTTCCACACACATCACCATATTAGGACAACGCTTGAGGTACACCGTGATTTATGTACATCTGTCTAGAATGTATAAAGAGCCCTGTACACCCCCGCTCTGGGCCTTCTTTCTCCATCTTTTTTACTGGAGAATCATTTGGCTGAAGGCCACAAATTGATTTTAGGCTGTATTTCTTGAACTGCTAAAATAAAGGTGCTTGCTTTTCAAACCAGCCGTCTTCAGAGTCTTCTCTTCATGTGAACAACAGCAGTTCCATTTGAACCAGAAGAAGTGACTTCTACACCTCATAATGGCGTCACGAGACAGAGGTTTTTTTGCTCCGGTGAATGCCACCATCGCACTGAACTGCTTTCTGCACGCCGGCTAAAAGGGTGAGTCATTTTTCACCAGACAGGGGGCACTTCAGTGGGTGATGATGGTGTTTGGGGGGGCTTTGACCAAAAGTTTCTGTTAGGGGATTTTAAGTGGACTGTTTGTTGATCGGATGAAGATCTCTGTTTAAATTCTAAATTTTGTGGAACTTTTTTTTACAACGTTCCATTGTTTTAGTCTGCGTTGCAAGGGGGGTTTCCTCTCAGAGGACAGACTGGAGAGTGCTGGGTGAACATTCCTATAAGTGATTTATTAACTGCTCTTCACCTCAGCTTGGGCTTTCCTCGGTCTGTCTAGGCAGGCATTTGTTAGAAAAGGGTGATTTTGTGGATAGTGAAGATTTGGGTCTACCGAGAGAATACAGCTGTTTATTCTTGTTTTGATTTATGAAGTGAGGCATGCGGAAAGATGTGAATCCATGACAGGGAGGTTTTGCAGGGCTTTTTGATTTCTTGTAGTACTTTTTGTCAGCCAGCGAGGGGTTTTTCCATGGCCATACGAAATTCCTGTAATTCGCTCAAGAGTAAAATGCATGCATTTAATTTATAGCCCGTTTTAAATTTAGATAATAGTTGAAGATTGATTGGGCTTGTTACAACTCGGCTGTTCATGTGGATAGTGACTGCAGTATTTCGCTCAAGAGTAAAATGGTTGCATTTAATTTATAGCCCGTTTTAAATTTAGATAATAGTTGAAGATTGATTGGGCTTATTGCAACTCGGCTGTTCATGTGGATAGTGACTGCAGTATTTTTTATTTTTATTTTATTG